TTTAGTTGGAAGCACGAGAACTGAAGACAGGAGAAGACTGTTTAAAATCAACAAAGTTTACTGAAAGTCTGAGCACAGGTTGATTCTTACAGCGCTGGATTCAGAGAGCCAGAGCTTCTGCAGGAAAACCGATTTCTGAATCCTGAATCAAGTTTTACCATACATTTTATCTTCTTGGGCTGCTCCACCTTGGACAGGGGTGCAACCTTCAATAGTTCGTGATTCTATTGGCCATTTGGTGTGAGCCGGAGCTCACACTTCCTTGTTGGAATGTGGTAAAATCTAGGTATGTGAGTGTGTGTCTCAGGTGGCAGCTTGATCTTAATCAAGAGCACAGAACAATGGGTGGCCTGAGTTGCAGGCCCCCTGTGCATGTGATGCTAATAAGTATGCTAAACTGGCCAGGTGGTCATCTCAGGTTTTGGGCCCCCCGGCTCTGCAGGACACCCCAAGACAAAGCAGAACTTGGGATATGCTAAATGGGTTGAGGTGTGAGTGTAAAACAGGCCAACATGTCTTTGTTAAAATGTAAATAGGCTGTCTGGTTGCTTGGCGATGCAGACATCCTGTCTCTACACAGAAGTTAAAGCGGGCAGTTTCTACTTGATTCTCATCAATACAATAGTGAGATATATAAGCAAGGAAAATAAATGTATTAAAAATAACCAAAGCTCAGTAGTTGTGGACAATCATCAATACAGCTGTAATATGTATAAACAAGGAAATAAAGTTATTAAAGGTAACTAAAGGGAACTAAAGTTATGAAAAGTAACTAAAGCTTATAAAGTCACTAGAGCCTATAAGAATAAAATCTTACATGTGTAGTAGCTCTTATGTAGATGTTATCTTGCAATTTTTATTCAGGCATTGTAGGCAATATGCATGCAGTTAGAAGCAAAAATTATTGAAATTGGCCCTATCTCATAATGGTGAAAAATCCCTTAAAAAATCCTTAAACCAGATGATGATCCATATCTGGATTGTTCCGTGGGCCATACCCTACATCTCCAAAAAATTTCATCAAAGTCTATACTCGGGTTGCAAGTGAGAGCAGACGTCTTTACTGCTCCTCTTGTCTGTTCTACGATTTTTCACATCTTCTACATTTTCAAGTCTTTGAACAAATTCTACAACTATTAAAATGCCGCCAAGAGGGAAAAGAGCTAATAAATCAGAAGCGAACGAGGATGTTGAAGCAGAAGAGGATTATATTTCAGCGGCGCAAGTAACAGAGATGTTGAGTCAGCAGAAGCAGATGTACACCGCACTGTTGAGCCAACAACAAGACAACTTCAAAGGTTTTGTGCAACTACTTATGGAGACAAATAACAAGAGACTCGACGACATGACCAGAGAAATACAGGAGATAAAAACGAGTTTGCAGTTTACCCAGCGAGATGTGGATGTGATTAAAGCAGCCATGGGTGAACAGAAAATACAAACCAAGGAAACAAGGGATGATGTCTACAAA